CTGTCCCTCGCACCAAGCCTGTGGTGCGCGTCGCCAGCCCGGTCCGGCCTGTTCCTGGCCCTCGCACCAAGCCTGTGGTGCGCGTCGCCAGCCCGGTCCGGCCCGTTCCTGCTCCCCGCACCAAGCCAGTGGTGCGCGTTGTCAGCCCGGTCCGGCCCGTTCCTGCTCCCCGCACCAAGCCAGTGGTGCGCGTCGTCAGCCCGGTCCGGCCCTTTCCTGCTCCCCGCACCAAGCCAGTGGTGCGCGTTGCCAGCCCGGTCCGGCCCGTTCCTGCTCCCCGCACCAAGCCAGTGGTGCGCGTTGCCAGCCCGGTCCGGCCCGTTCCTGCTCCCCGCACCAAGCCAGTGGTGCGCGTCGTCAGTCCGGCACGATCCGTGCCTGTTCCACCGGTGCCTGGTCCGGCACCGGTCAGCTGCTCCACTCCGGAGCCAGAGCAATCCGCTCCACCGGTGTCCAGTCCAGCTCCGGCCAGCGGGGCCAGACCAGACCAGGGGTGCTACGGGGGGGTAGAGGGAGAGTGGTGGTCACGCCCAGAGCCGGATCCGCCTCCGAGGCGGAATGCCCACCCGGCCCCTCCCCTGTTGTGTTTGGTTGGCGCGGTCGCAGTCCGCGCCTTTGGGGGGGGGGTACTGTCACGCCCTGGCTCTGGGGACTCTTAAATGTTGAGCCAGGGTGTGGACTTGTTATGTTTAGTTTTCTATGGGTTTTGTTCTAGATCGTTTATTTCTATGTTGGCCAGGGTGGTTCCCAATCAGAGACAGCTGTAGCTCGTTGTCTCTGATTGGGGACCATACTTAGGCAGCCTGTGTTCACTAGTTTATTGTGGGATCTTGTTTCGTTAAGGTTTGTGTTATTAACCTAGGACTTCACGTATCGTTTGTTTTGTCGTAAGTTGTGTACAAATAAAATGTACGCTTATCACGCTGCGCCTTGGTCCGTGTCTTCATCAGTCAGCGATCGTGACAACAATATTTGTTGCAATATTTGTTATGTCATTTCTGGAGGATTAAATTGAAATTGCAACCAACTTTCTATGGCTTGTTTTAGAAATAGTGATATTTGGGAGATGATTTCCTTTTCAAATACATGAAAGTGAGGGGTTGTAATCTGAATAAAGGGAAAAAGTCCCTTCTTGAACATTGGGTGAGACAATCTTACTAGTTTGCTAGAGAACCAGTTCGGATTTAAGTATAATTTTTGTATGACTGAAGCTTTTAGTAATAGGTCTAATGCTTTAATATTTAATAATTTCTGTCCTCCTAATTCATATTCATTATAAAAATAGGCCCGTTTAATTTTGTCTGGCTTGCCGTTCCAAATAAAATGGAATATTTTTTTCTCATATAATTTAAAAAACTGTTTGCTAGGCGTAGGCAAGACCATAAGCAAATAGGTAAACTGGGATAATACTAAAGAGTTAATCAGGGTGATTTTTCCACAAATTGACAGGTATTTACCTTTCCATGGTAGCAAGATCTTATCTATTTTTGCTAACTTTCTATAATTTTTTTTTGGAGTGAGATCATTTATTTCATTTGGGATATGTATTCCGAGTACATCCACATCACCATCAGACCATTTTATTGGTAAACTACATGGTAATGTAACATTTTTATTTTTTAGTGATCCAATACGTAATATAGTACATTTATCATAATTTGGTTGTAATCCAGAGAGGTTAGAAAATGTTTCTAGATCCTCTATGAGGCTGTGGAGGGTTTGAAGTTGTGGATTTAAAAGAAAACATGAATCATCAGCGTACAATGACACCTTTGTTTTTAAGCCCTGGATTTCCTTGATATTATTGTTGGATCTGATTTTAATAGCTAACATCTCAATGGCAATAATAAATAGATATGCTGATAGCGGACAACCTTGTTTCACTCCTCTTGACAGTTTAAAACTTTCGGAGAAATAGCCATTATTTACAATTTTAAACCTAGGGTTACTATACATGATTTTAACCCAATTTATAAGAGATTGTACAAAATTGAAATGCTCCAGGCATTTATATATAAACCCCAGTCGTACTTTATCAAATGCCTTTTCGAAGTCTGCTATGAATAGTAGGCCTGGCTTCCTAGATTTTTCATAGTGTTCTATTGTTTCCAGTACTTGCCTTATATTATCTCCAATGTATCGCCCATGTAAAAAACCTGTCTGATTAGAATGAATAATGTCCGACAATACCTTTTTAATTCTATGCGCTATACATTTTGCTAGAATTTTTGCATCACAACACTGAAGTGTAAGGGGCCGCCAATTTTTTAAATGGACTGGATCTTTATATTTTCCACTTGTATCTTGTTTCAGAAATAATGAAATCAGGCCTTCTTCTTGAGTGTCTGATAATCTACCATTTACATAGGAGTGGTTAAAACATGCTAATAACGGTCCTCTGAGTATATCAAAAAAGGTTTGGTATACCTCGACTGGTATGCCATCCAACCCTGGAGTTTTCCCGGACTTAAAGTCTTTAATTGCATCCAGAAGTTCCTCCGCTGTAATTTCACCTTCACATGAGTCTTTCTGTATGGCTGTTAATTTTACATTATCAATAGAAAAAAATCTCTACAATTTGCTTCAGTTAGAGGAGATGGAGGCGACTGAAACGAAAACAAATGCTTAAAGTACTTTGTTTCCTCCTTCAAAATATCATTTGGTGAATGATGGGTGACTCCGTCATTTGTAACCAGTTTCAATAAATTCTTTTGGTAGCATTTCTATGTTGAAGATGAAAACATAATTTGGTGCATTTTCCCCCATATTCCATCCAGTTTGCTTTATTTTTATAATATATTAGACTTGATCTTTCTTGAATAAGTTTCTCCATTTCTTTTTGTTTTTCCTCTAATTCATTCTGAGCCTCTATGTTACAGTTTTTATTGCTATCTATCTGTTCTGTTAGACCTTCTATTTCCTTTGTTAGTGTGGACTCTTTTGACCTAAATTGCTTTTGTTTTTCGAGATGAGTACTGAATTGCATGGCCTCTAAAGGCACATTTAAAGGTGTCCCATACAATAAGGGGATTTGCTGTACATATGTTATGTCGGAAAAAATCAGTTATAAATTCCTCTGTCCTAGTTAAAAACAAGTTATCATCCAATAGGCTTTGATTACATTTCCAATATCCTCGCCCACGTGGAAATTCAGTAAGAGTAATGTATATGCCAATTATTGTCAGTAGGTGCTGTAGGTGGGTGTGGTGTTGGAATCAGGTGCAGGACGCAGAAAATAAGTCCAAAAGACTTTAGTGAAGGCACAAACTAATAGACGAGACAAAAGCCCTGAGGCGAGAAACTCCGCACGCAGGCGTAAACAAAAGGGCGCACTAAACATGTGCGAATATACTCTCCTTAACAGAGGAGAAAAGCTACAAAGAGCAAACGGTAATCTGTAGAGCACAAACACGACAGCGAAACAATCACACACAACACCTGACAAACACAACGAGAACTTATAGGACACTAATGACACTAAACAACAACAGGTGTACAATTCCAGACAAGACCAAACGAACATAGAAACATACAACGGTGGCAGCTAGTATTCCGGAGATGACGAACGCCGAAGCCTGCCCGAGCAAGGAAGAGAGGCAGCCTCGGCCGAAACCGTGACAATTATATGATGGTCCGACTGCATTCTGTCCCCATCAACACTTTTTTAACTAGAAGTAAACATATAGTAAACATGATTCAGATTCCACATTAGACTGTGTTTGATGGAGATTCAACATAAGATGACAAGACACAATATGGCCATGACAAAAGGTGAAAGAATACTGTAGTTTGTAATTATGTTTGTTTAGGACTCCACTTGTATATGGTCCATCTCCTTAATTTTCAATTACAGACTGAATGAGTAATAGTAACAACTGTTGTATCGATCTCTGGCATGTGCTTGCATGGTGTCTCTTGTTTTCACTGGTTTTTCACTTACCAAATGCTTGTGCAGCTGTGGTAGAAAGAACAGGAATTGATGTTCCATAAGTGTGACCCTGCATGCTTCAGGTCACTGACAGTCATCATAAACATGTCTGGTACTCCTTTGCATCTCAGACCTGTGAACAGACTAAGGAACAACTCAGTGTAATCAGCTCATCACCCTATATGGAACACAGCTATGTTATTTCTTCTAGGATGGTCCACAGAACACATGTATAAAGTATGTGTTCTAGAATGGGCACGGCTATGTCTTTTAAAGCCATCATCCATGGAACACAACTACTGTATGTCTTCCAGAATGGCCCGTACAGTCAACAGCTGCCTGTGTGTTGAGTGTTGAGTGTTGTGTGTAGCAGCAGGGTGTATGTAGCCGTCACTAACTGTAAGTTGCTCTGGAGAAGAGCATCAGCTAAATGACTAAAATGTCAATGTAAAATGTAGATGGGAACGATAACAGATGGCTCTGCAGAGAGCTGAGAGAGGAACAGTCTGCTGTGTATTACAGGCCGCTTTAAATCACTGCAAACCACCTGTTGCACCTAAACATCTCAACTCAGAGTGGAGTTTTGTTCCATGTATTAAATACTCTATGGGAAGACCCCCAGGAGCCGCCCATGTTGTATTTCAGTTCCTAAACTGAAAGGAACTGGTGCATGTTTTTATATTAGATTGTGGACCTCCATCAATGGTAGCTTGGGTCTGGAATGTGTTGTATACATTGTAGCTGTAGGCTGTGTCTTAAATGGCACAATTTTCCCTATAAAGTGCACTACTTTTGACCATTACAGGCAATAGGGTGCCATTTGGGACACAGGTCTAATCGTACTGTACGGCTGTGATATGGCAACCATTCTGGGTTAATTAGGTGAAATCTGAAGGTGTGGTTTCAGGCAGTCAGGAGGTGAAAGTGCTTCCTATTTATAATTCCTTTAGAGTCTGACATCCCATCCCATCCCCAGTCTCCTTATCAGTGACTGGCAGTGTTTGTGTTTGTTGTAGTGCACTCATCCTCAGGACTGGAGGTTGAGTTGGTTGTCTCTGCTATTGTTTACCAGCTGCTGTCTGTCTGTCCACCCATCCGTCCGTTGGTCCCCCTGGTCAAGGATGAGGTACCTGGCCCTCGGGCTCTTTTGCCTGCTCTGCTGCGATGCAGTCCGAGTGGACCACAGACACAGACGCCGTCCCAGACCATCCGTCCTGTCCAGAGGACGCAATGACTCGGCCCTCCAGTCCAACTCAGTGGGTAAGACCAGCAGAGATTACTGCTACTAAAGGAAATGTGGTGCTAGCTAAATACTGTGGTTTGTGTCACAATCAACACTATCAACAAGGCAGGTCCTACAGGCTCTAGTTTTGTCGCACCTGGACTGCTGTTCAGTCGTATGGTCAGGTGCCACAAAGAGGGACCTCGGAAAATTACAATTGGCTCGGAACAGGGCAGCACGCCCTTAAAGCACACGGAAAGCTAACATTAATAATATGCATGTAAATTTCTCATGGCTCAACGTGGAGGAGAGATTGACTTCATCACTAATTGTTTTTGTAAGAAGTGTTGACATGCTCAATGCACCGAGCTGTCTGTTTAAACTACTAGCACACAGCTCGGACACCCATGCATACCCCACAAGACATGCCACCAAAGGTCTCTTCACAGTCCCCAAGTCCAGAACAGACTATGGGAGGCGCACAGTACTACATAGAGCCATGACTACATGGAACAGGTAACTGATGCAAGCAGTAGAATCAGATTTAGAAAACTGATCAAATACACCTTATGGAACAGCAGGGACTGTGAAGAGACACACACACAGGCACAGACACACATACAGATGATAAGACATGCACTCTACACACACGTACACATGGATGTTGTATTGTAAATATGTGATAGTGGAGTAGTGGCCTGAGGGAACACACTACATGTGCATTGAGTCAAGTGTTATGAAATGTAATCTCATGTAATATTTTAAATCATATATAACTGCCTTAATGTTGCTGGACCCCAGGAAGAGCAGCTGCTGCCTTGGAAGCAGCTAATGGGGATCCTTAATAAATACAAATACAATGGAAAATACATGGAAGATAGTGGAATGCATGGAATATAATGGGACATACAGTACAATATAATGGGACATACAGTACAATATAATGGGACATACAGTACAATATAATGGGACATACAGTACAATATAATGGGACATACAGTACAATATAATGGGACATACAGTACAATATAATGGGACATACAGTACAATATAATGGGACATACAGTACAATATAATGGGACATACAGTACAATATAATCGGACATACAGTACAATATAATGGGACATACAGTACAATATAATGGGACATATAGTACAATATAATGGGACATACAGTACAATATAATGGAATATACAGTGTAATATTCATATGTGTCAGCATACTGAATTGAAATTGGATGCATTCTACCGTCGTAATCATTGGTCTGTATTTCTCCTCACAGTAAAGATCAAGTAAAATCAATGTGTGACCAGGGAAACTGGTCCTCTCTAGAGGGATATATGGAGCCTGTAGACATTTTTCTTCTTGTCTTTTCCCAGGCTTAGTTTAACGTTGACTGATTTACAGATTACTACTGGAGACTAGAGAACTCAGAATCTTTCCCCTGCTCTCAGAGTGACTGACTGAGCACACAAAGTAATAATCACTGTCCAAACTCAAATAGAAAGAATCAACCAGATAGTGTCAGAATTATGTACTACAGTACTTTAAGTAAGACCCAGTAAGACCCAAGTTTTGGGTTCTTCGTACAGAGAGCCCATGTAAATATCAGAGTTCTATACGGTACAGTAAGACTACTTCCAGTCAGATTATCTGTATCAGAGAGCCCCTGTAAATACTATATTAAAGTTACAGTAAGCCTATATACAATACAATACTTCCATTACGGCTTTCTTTGTGTTCTCCCCCAGAGAGCCTGTGTAAAGGGAAGCCCCTGGATTTTGTGTTCATCATCGACAGCTCCCGCAGCGTGCGTCCCAGTGACTATGAGAAGGTCAAGACCTTCATCACCAACATCCTGGCCTTCCTGGACGTGGGGCCGGAGGCGACGCGCGTCGGGCTGCTGCAGTATGGCAGCGTGGTGCAGAACGAGTTCTCCCTCAACACCTACAGCAGCAAGGTAGTCTAGGCCCTAGGGAACAAGTTATCCCATAATACCTACCGCAGCAAGGTAGCCTGGGGAACAAGTTATGTCTCAACACCTACAGCAGCAAGGTAGTCTAGGCCCTAGGGAACAAGTTATCCCATAATACCTACCACAGCAAGGTAGCCTGGGGAACAAGTTCTGTCTCAACACCTACAACAGCAAGGTACATTCTTAGAAAACAAGGTGCTATCTGGAACCTAAAAGGGTTCTTCGGCCGTTCCCATAGGAGAACCCTTTGAAGAACCCTTGCTCCCCAAACTACACTCTTAGAAAAAAAGGGTTCCGAAAGTGTTCTTTGGCTGTCCCTTTTTGGTTCCAGGTAAAACCCTTTTTGGCTCCAGGTAGAACCCTTTTGGTTCTAAGTAGAACCGTTTTGGGTTCCATATAGAACCCTTTCCACTGAGGGAGCCAAAAATAGTTTTTACTTGGAACCAAAAAGGGTTCTCCTATGGGGACAGCCAAAGAACCGTTTTGAAACCCTTTTTTTTCTAAGAGTATTGTTTGGGGAACAAGTTCTGTCTCAACACCTACAGCAACAAGGTAGCCTAGAGAACAGGTTCTTCTTCGAGACAGTTAGCTGAATAGCCGTTGTGCCCTTGAGCAAAGTACTTCTACCCACAGGAATGTTGCAATGTGGCTGAACTTGTGCTCCTCCCAAATGTGTGCCGTGTGTTGAGACTGGGAGCAGAGCAGAAGAGACAGATGGACTATTCAGTACTGTTCTATTCTTTTTACCATATGTTTACTTGGTTTTCCAAGTACAGTTGCACAGAAACAGTCTGTAACAAGAATCCCCAATAAACTAACCCACCCAAATTAACAAACACAGAACTGTTGTATTCAAGGCAGATGTGGAGCGGGCGGTGAAGGCCATGGACCACCTGGCCACCGGCACCATGACCGGCCTGGCTATCCAGTACACCATGGAGACAGCCTTCACCGAGCCAGAGGGCGCCCGTCCCACCGACATGCACATCCCCCGCATCGCCATGATCGTAACGGACGGGCGTCCCCAGGACACGGTGGAGGAGGTGTCGGCACAGGCCCGGCAGGCAGGCATCCAGATCTTCGCCATCGGAGTGGGCAGGGTGGATATGAACACGCTGCGGGCCATCGGGAGTGAGCCCCACTCTGAGCATGTGTACCTGGTGGGCAACTTCAGCCAGATAGAGACCCTCACCTCCGTCTTCCAGTCCAATCTGTGTGGAGGTGTGTGTTTTCTCTCTGTTAATCTCTCAATACACTCATGTGCTTTATTCATTATATTGATGGAGATTCTAAGGATTTATTATTTGTGTGTGTGTGTGTGTGTGTGTGTGTGTGTGTGTGTGTGTGTGTGTGTGTGTGTGTGTGTGTGTGTGTGTGTGTGTGTGTGTGTGTGTGTGTGTTTGCGTACATGCATGTGTGTGTGTATTAGGTACAGACCTGTGCTCTGTGGTGGACCATCAGTGTGATCACCTCTGTGTGAGCACCCCAACCTCCTACATGTGCCGGTGCAGAAAGGGTTACACCCTTAACTCTGATGGCAAGTCCTGCCGCTGTAAGTGAGTCACTTAGTCGACCACATAATTTGACTAAGAACATGGAAAATATATTTTGGACAGACAAATTCACCAGTGGGGTACAATGAAGCTCTAAAATGCGAGCTGGAATTGTCTTGAATATGTTATTCTTTAATTTGATCACTTCCTCCCAAATCACTACTAATCACACTGTTATTGGTCCATGTATACCGGAAATAAAGTCAGTGGTGTAAATCAGAATCAGTGGGGTCTAGCTGGCTGGGTTAGGGTTGGCCTGTGGGACGGTGCAGTGCTAGGGCTGGTGGAATAGCAGGAGCAGCAGCAGAAGCATAGGGTTAGGGTTAGGGTTAGGGTTAGGGTTAGGGTTAGGGTTAGGGTTAGGGTTAGGGTTTAGGGTTAGGGTTAGGGTAAGGGTAGGGTTAGGGTTAGGGTTTAGGGTTAGGGTAAGCGTTAGGGTTAGGGTTAGGGTAAGGGTAAGGGTTAGGGTAAGGGTTAGAGTAAGGGTTAGGGTTAGCTACAGCAGTAGCAGTAGCATTAAATCCTATCTTTGCCTATGTTGTGGTCCTCCTGGTTCTGTAGCGGAAGACCCGTGTGCTGTGGTGGACCATGGCTGTGCCCACATCTGTGCCAAAGTGCCAGGGGTACTTGGCTACGAGTGTCGCTGCCGGCTTGGGTATGAACTCAACGAGGATGCGAGGACGTGCCGAAGTGAGATTCTTAACATTTTCCTCTTTCGTTCCTCTTCTTTTGTGTGATTATGACTAAAGTTAACTTAGAAAAAACTATGAATTTACTCTGAAAACAATTAATTTATCTGCTTGTGAAGGTTAACCTGAATTCCAGATTTCCATCTGTCCGTTCATTGCTCAAATCTGATGGTCTGTTATACTGAATTTATACTGAGTTTTGACCTGACGAAGATTCGTTTCGGATTGGAAACGTTGTCAATAAAGCGGTGAATTGGGAGCTTTAACAGCCTTCTTGTTCTTTACTATTATACTGAAAACAATAAATAATTTGTTTTTGGGTTACATATCAGTCCATGGGCTGGCTCAGTGATGCAACTATGCTTGACTATTGTAGTGTGCACAATCAGTTCTTTAAGCAGTTGAAGGGATGAACGTCCCAGATCAGTACAACTCTAATACAGTATTTGGTCTATCTTGTTGCCAAATGGAGGTCCAGGTCCACCCACATTTGGACATGCCCCTAGCTCTCTAGTGGAACTTCAGACTTCAGAGTAGTGTGAGGGAGATCTCCAAGAGGAAGTGTGCTTTTTGAATCATCTCACTGGCTGCTGACATATGGGGGAGTGTGTACAGGGTGTCAGAATACTAAGAAATAATAACAGACAGCCAGGGTTTGATCTGGTTTGATCTGTGGAAAGGGCTATACATGGAACCCAAAAGGGGTTCTTTAAAGGGTTCTCCTATGGGGACAGCCGAAGAACCCTTTTTGGTTCTAGAGAGCACCTTTTTTTCTAAGAGTGTATGTTCTGATGCAAATTGCCCAATAAAGTTGCACTGTACTGGATTAGAGATACATTTGAATTAACTTCAGAAAGCACACCTCTCGAGCGTATTAGAATCCTAACACATTTTAGATATTGATTTCAGAGCACTGTGGGTTAATCATAAACTGTAAGTGCTTTTTAAACGTACAGGCAAAAACAACTGATATTACAGGAAATAAAGGACATTCGAAATTAAAGGCATCTATTCACTGCTTTATCTCTTGTTAACATCCTGAGAGTAATGTATGAATTCAAGCCAATCTATGTGAGTGACTCTACCTTTTCCCCTCAGGAATAGATTACTGTGACCTGGGGAACCATGGCTGTCAGCATGACTGTGTCAGCACTCCTGAGTCCTACATCTGTAGATGCACGAGGGGCTATGTTCTCAACCTCGATGGCAAGACCTGCAGCAGTAAGTTCACCACTACTCTGGTTATATGAACTGTGTTACTGTGCTATTAACAACACTATACTCAACCTCCCCCTCCTGAGATGGCAGTGCCAGTACACCTCTAAAAAATGGTTTAAAAGATATTTAATCTAACAAATAAAGCAATCATAACTGTTAATTCAAAATATCAGTCACTGGAAGGCTCAGCAACAGAGTGCTGCGCTCACTGTGTGGGCAGTTTTGAGGAAAACATTTGTAATGTATTTATATGTTGAATGTAGTGAGTATGTGAGTCATTGTTATATTTCTACATAACAGTGTAGACGTGTTAGTTCCCTGAAAGAGTATTAGTATGCATTGTCCCTTTCTCTCTCCTGCCTTGTCTCTATCTCTGTATCCCATGTGACTAACGGCTCTCAGAGATTGACCACTGTGCTCTTGGCGACCACGGGTGTGAACATGAGTGTGTCAACACTGAAGATTCATTTTTCTGTAAATGCCGAGAAGGCTACATACTCAGACCTGATAATACAACCTGCAAGAGTAAGTCTAACCTGCTTCACACTAGAATAGTGTATGCTCTCAGTCTCACCTAATGCACAGAAATATAATTTGTATTCAACATTTTACTTAGATTTCAACATACTAGCAAGACTTGCTTATTGACCTCAACAACTGGGTCTGATCCCTTTTACTCACTGCAGAGCTTGACCCATGTTCCCTTGGTAACCATGGGTGTGAGCATGACTGTGTGAACACTGAAGATTCATTTGTGTGTAGATGTCGAGAAGGCTACACACTCAGACCTGATAACAGAACCTGCAAGAGTAGGTCCATGGCATGCTTCCATGTCTTACTATCAGCTGTGCTGTAACAGATATTTTGGACATTGCACAGTAATGAGAGGATCTTCTCTATGCATCATGCTGTTTTGGCCCAATGGATTCACATCCCTTTAAATTGATACGTTAGAATGAATGTGTTACATATTAATGGTTATGTGACTGATTTAAGTTGGACTGCCTTCAAATATACACCTAACTGCCTATTTTGTAATGGGTCTGACTGTGACTGAGTGTTTTTCCATCCTGGTATTTATATGTTACATAATTTGGATGAGTTGTGATTGTGATGTCATGGTTAATCCTGATGCTCCCGCTAGCCCAGGGTGTTCTTTTCCTGGATTAAGAGGAATATTCTGTACTGTTTGACAGTGACAGGCACCTGGGATGAAGGAAGAAAGAGTAGCTCTCGATAGGTAGATAAAAGGATATTCATGCACATTATTACCAAATGTTGCATTAAAATGACTGTATGTCTTTGGAACCATGAAGCCTGGAGTAGAGGAGTAGAGAACACACATTTCCATTACTAATGAGAATTATCCTTATTACTCTTTCAATGTGACCTGCACCAGGGGCACAACTTTCACTGGAGACGGGGGACATGTCCCCCCACATTCTGAAATTGCAGTTTTATCATTGGAATGTGATACAAAACTAGGCAACGGTGTGCCTTAGGACCATGCGGATGCCTCTGAGCAGTCGGTAGGCTGTTTGGAGTGTTTATCCATCTTTATTAAAAATTAAAATATATAATTATTTATGTCCCCCCCACTTCTAAAACCAAAGTTGCGCCCCTGACCTGCACACAGGTCTTCATAATGTTGGGCCATTATTGTAAAATGAGCCAGTTAGTAGCCTAGCAGCAACATCATTTAATTGATGTAGGCTAGTACTTTCTGCTGCTATCTTGCCATGGTATAGTTGATTTGTGGTGTCTTGACATGACTCAACACTATTTGTCTCTACTATGGCAGAGGCAGAGTGTGGAGATGGAGTGATGGATCTGGTATTTGTGATTGACGGCTCTAAGAGCCTGGGGCCGGCCAACTTTGAGCTGGTCAAGCAGTTTGTGAACGGCATCGTGGACTCTCTGGATGTGTCCGGCATCGGCACCCACGTGGGGCTGCTGCAGTACTCCACTAAGGTCCGCACGGAGTTCACCCTGGGTCAGTATACCTCAGGCCAGGGACATCAACAGGGCCGTGTCGCGGATGCAGTACATGGGCAGAGGATCCATGACGGGCGCTGCCCTGCGTCACATGTTTGAGTACAGCTTCTCTGCCAAGGAGGGGGCCCGGCCCGACATGCCATGGGTCAGCATCGTGTTCACCGACGGACGATCACAGGATGATGTGTCAAAATGGGCCGGCTAAAGCAAAGGATGCTGGTACGGTTTCTTTATATTGTGTTTGCTGAACTTGATCTGATAGCAGAGCCATTTAAAGTCATTAATAAAGTACGATCTTATCTTAAAGGAGTCATTCATCCACTTCCTTCTGACCTGCTTCACCGCCCCCAGGTATCACGATATATGCACTTGGTGTTGGTAAAGCCATCGAAGAGGAGCTCAGAGAAATTGCTTCCGAGCCAGATGATAAGCATTTGTACTATGCTGAAGATTTTAGCCACATGGGAGAAATTGCAGACAAATTGAAGTCACGGATATGTAAAGGTACCCAATGAATAAAATACACTCTAAAATAACTTTCTCATTAAATATCCATCATAGCCACACAATATTAATTATTTCTCACACTTTTCCTGCACAGTACACAAATCCTCTCATCTTGAATACATTATTAATTTCTATAAATACAAATACTAAAACAAAAATGCCCCAAAAACCCTCTAAAGTCTTAAAACTAATCAGATTTTTTATGAAGGTGGTGCTCATAGACTTCCATATTATTATTTATACTGTGTGTTAGATCGATTTTTTTCTCATGCACTGCATTTCAGGAAATATTTATTGACGAGCCGGTAAGTACTTGATGTTCTGGGGGAAATGCTGTACATCTCTGCCACCTGCAGGTGATTTTATGAAGTACAACAGCAACCAAATCATTGGAGGCCTATCATTGTAATGTATATTGTGAGGCTTTGTGAATTAATAATTGTATTGCACTTGATCTGTGTCAGTCTGTTCCTAAAAGACAATCCATACTGTGTCTGTCTGTGAACAGAGAAACCCTCCCCTGAAGAGATGTGTAAGTGTGACAACGTGATGCTCTTCCAGAGGCAGGTCAACGAACAGCTTAGAAGACTGACCCAGCATAATATCCTTTACAGCCCTGTGGTGGTGTGCATACTTTGGATAAGATATTTAATATTGCCATGGCATTGAATCCTTTCCAAATGGCCCCATATTACCAGTATAGTGTGCTTCTTTATAGTGTGAGTCCTATATGCCCTGGTCAAAAGTAGTGCACTATAAAGGGAATGGGGTGCCATTTAGGACGCAGTCATTATGTTTAAAAATGTGTTTAGTTTAAAATCAATAACTTCCTTAATGTGTAAATACTTGAGGTTGTGTCAAAAAGGATGGAGACCCTTGAGAGTCAGCTTGGACACAAATGAAGGAAGGACAAATAAATGTTTTCATCTGTTCGTCCTCAACGGATTCTTCTCAACTGGTCTGCGATGCAAGAGCATTACTAAACTTCAAGGGATAACTTTTAGGGGATAAGGGATAAGCTATTTCAACAAGCTACACTGAAACATAATATGCTATATTTTCTACTGTAACTGCTATTTATATTCTGAACAACACTATGCATTTATGCATGTGGCTGTCGACTGGAGTAAGTGAAGCCAAAATTACTGTATATCTTTGCTACCTTCAGGTATCAAAATGTGTTTATTTTTCAAACGTAAAATGTTATTTGGCAGATAACTGCAATTTATAGATCCAAATATAACTGGTATAAGATACAATACAACATTTTATAATGACAAATTAAAGTAAAATCACTTTGTATTTCAAAATAAAATGCTTTCTATTGCTGTTGAATGTGAATAAAATCACTGTTGATCTTGCTTGCATTGTACTTTGTGGAACACCAAAATGTGTCACAACGTTCTCAAAGATCGTAAGATCAGATCATCTGTCAGATTTGGATTGAACCCGACAAGATTTTTGTATAAAATATTAGAAACACACATAGTGGTCTTACTGCTGCAATTTCCAAATCCCCCATTAGAGAAAATACAGTCATTCCTTCCTCCAAAGGCCCTGAAGATAGATGAGATTATGTTAATGATCAAATGGAGCAAGACTGAGCCAAACAATAGCACACACACAGAGATACTGAGGAGAATAACAAGAAGAGGATTCTCTATCCAGCCCACTACAGTGGGGAGTTCTCGTTCTCCAGTTAATAGGCTAGGTCATACAGACCTATATATACATGAATCAAGAGGCCTCAATACCACACCACTCTCTACCAACTACAGTAGATGCCCCACTACTTTCTCTGTCTGATAACTATTTGCAGGCCTGAGGAAGAATTCTCCATCTGTCCTGCTGTTGCAATAAATGTACAATGCCACTGGTGTGTTCTTTTTCAACCAAGGCAGGAGATTCATGACATTCCAATGCATGTGAATTATGGATAATCTAACAATGAAACCTTCTGTGTTCATCCTGCTGCATAGATCTCGGTTAGAGTCAGCCGCTCCTTCTCCCTCCCTGATAGATCCAGCTTCACTATGGCGTGAACCTGGCTGGCAGGTCTCTGGTCCCTGGAGAACAGACCGCCGTGGGTACGTCCCAAATGGCACCCTATTCTCTACATAGTGGGCCCTGGTCAAAGGTAGTGCACTAAATCGGGAATATGGTGGCATTTTGGACGCAACCCCGCCAGGCCTTTTGTCTTCCCCTCCCGTCCCTTTACAAAGGTCATGTGTTTCCTGGCCAAACACCAGGCTTTGGTGTTGCTTACAGATACACTGTGATCAGAATATCAAACCAGTGTATAAGATGAATTCAGAGAGGGTTGGTGCTCACTAAGAACCTGTCTGTTGAAGTAGGTATGATACACTACATCAAGTGGACTTGTGCAGGGCAGGAGCAGTGGGTGCATGGTATTAGCGAGTGGTGAGGTACACTACATGACTAAAAGTATGTGGACACTTGCTCGTCGAAAACATCTCATTCCAAAATCATGGGCATTAATATGGAGTTGGTCCCCCCGTTGCTGATATAACAGCCTCCACTCTTCTGGGAGGCTTTCCACTAGATGTTGGAATATTGCTGCGGGGACTTGCTTCCATTCAGCCACAAGAGCAATAGTGAGGTCTGGCACTGACGTTAGGCGATTAGGCCAGGCTCGCAGTCGGCGTTCCAATTCATCCATAAGGTGTTCGATGGGGTTGAGGTCAGGGCTCTGTGCAGGCCAGTCAAGTTCTTCCACACCGATCTCGACAAACCATTTCTGTATGGACTTCGCTTTGTACACAGGGGCATTGTCATGCTGAAACAGGAAAGGGCCTTCCCCAAACTGTTACCACAAAGTTGGAAGCACAGAATCGTCTAGAATGTCATTGTATGCTGTAGCGTTAAGATTTCCCTTTACTGGGACTAAGGGGCCTAGCCCGAACCATGAAAAACAGCCCCAGACCATTATTCCTCCTCCACAGTTGGCACTATGCATTTGGACAGGTAGCGTTCTCCTGGCATCCACCAAACCCAGATTAGTCCGTTGAACTGCCAGATGGTGAAGCGTGATTCATCACACCAGAGAACGCATTTCCACTGCTCCAGAGCCCATGGTGGCGAGCTTTACACCACTCCAGCCGACGCTTGGCATTGCGCATGGTGCTCTTAGGATTGTGTGTGGCTGCTCGGTCATGGAAACCCATTTCATAAAGCTCCCAACGAACAGCTCTTGTGCTGATGTTGCTTCCAGAGGCAGTTTGGAACTCAGTAGTGAGTGTTGCAACCGAGGACAGACGATTTTTACACGCTACGCACTTCAGAGGTCCCGTTCTGTGAGCTTGTGTGGCCTACCATTTCACGGCTGGGCCGTTGTTGCTCCTAGATATTTCCACTTCACAATAACAGCACTTACAGTTGACCGGGGCAGCTCTAGCAGGGCAGAAATTTGACAAACTGACTTGTTGGAAAGGTGGCATCCTATGACGGTGCCACGTTGAAAGTCACTGCGCTCTTCAGTAAGGCCATTCTAATAATAATAATAATAATATGCCATTTAGCAGACGCTTTTATCCAAAGCGACTTACATCATTCTACTGCCAATGTTTGTCTATGGAGATTGCATGGCTGTCTGCTCGATTTTATACACCTGTCAGCAACGGGTGTGGCTGAAATAGCCGAATCCACTAATTTCAAGGGGTGTCCACATACTTTTGTTTATATAGTGTAGATTAGTTGTGTATGAGAAATACACATTGTGACCAGATTTGATACAAGAGAGCTTATTCCTTACAGTATCTTGCATTATGTCACTAGTATTGGTATGTGATCAGCTCACCTTTTGCTTTCATCGAACAAAAACAAAACTTCCAATCTCATCGTTTTGATGAATATACATTTTATTTAAATTACAAACCATGTAACAAAAGATTACAAAGAAAATGATTACAGAAAGTAAATTGTTATTTTAATGAGAGTAAAATTGAGCTGGACAGATGACAATGACAGTCAGCGGGTAAGAAATATAAAAACAATACAATTTAAAACTTCAAATGTTTTGCAGGAGACAGCCAGCCACATAGAAACCGTTGCTCTTCACTTACCGTCTTAGTAATCACACAATAGAATTTACAACCAGAGGAAAACAAAGAAAAAACAAATAGTTAATCAAACTCAAATCTAAAATATCAGTCCTCCTCTTCACCAGTAGTGTTTAAGAACCCAACCCTTCTCTTAAAAACACATGCACACGAAACATACTAGCATTTCAGATGAAAAATCAGCAACTGAACACTAAGACCATGCTTCGCTTTTGAAACACAAATGAAAATGTAGTCGACTGACTTAGGGCTATGATCACTGAGGTCATGGAGCATGGTGTTAATCACTTTGGAGCTGCCTAGAGCTCAACACACGGAGCTGCTGCAGAGAGAGGAACACACAACCACTGATCTGATCAAAACAACTGTTGATTAGCTGATAAGAGGCAGCTACCCGATTCAGTTAAATGCATTTTTGTGTCTCTGATAAAACAACAAGTCTCCATCTTTCATCACGGCTGCATCACACACACTGTCTGGAGGCATGGGGACGTTCAAACAACGTCCCAACAACTTACACGAAACAACAATTCAACGCTCAATTAACAAGTTGTATAGGGAAAGACTTTGCTCCCAAGGCCCACCAGTAAATTTGGACCAGAACAAATTTTCAGGGGGGTCATTTTAATCTTTAAAGTCTAATATAATGGGAGCGTCTCCTTGCCTTGAGACAGTTGTATGCGGGGGTTGGTTTGGATCTGTTTCAGAGTCATATGTTAGCCGAGAATGTTAGCTCCAGTGCAGAGGTTCATGATGAGTTGAGCTCACACTTCAGTACACTGGCCGTCAGGCCTTCTCGACCTCACACTGCTGCTGCTGCTGGAGGCCTCAGCCCCAGGGGGGGACCTGTCCTCCGGGCTCTCCCCCAAACGCAGTCTCTGCTCCCGGGGCTCCACTGCCTCCCCGTCCCCCTCCTCATCGTCGCTCCAGTCCCCAGACCCATCCACAGAGGTGTTAGGACCAGAGGACATGGAGGGTGTGGCGGTGGCCTCCTCTTCCCCCTCCTCTCCCTCCCCAACCTCAGCCCTCTCCGGGGCATCTGTGGGGCTGATGTGGAGCTGGGCCAGGGCGTCCTCCAGAGAGGGATTGGTGGGGCTGCCGGGCTGGCCCCCCAGAGAGGTGGGAGGCCTGGCAGGAGCAGACAGGACTGTGGAAGCAGCTGGAGCTGCTGCAGCCTGCTGCACTGGGGCTGCTAAAGTATCAGCCCCGTCTGCAGAGATCCCTCTCCCTGCCGCAGCGGACCCCTGCGCCCCGCCCTCTGTGTCTAGACGGAGGCCTGCCACCCCTTTCTTGGGGATGTCCACAACGTCCCGTTTTATCTTGCGGCGGCGGCCGTGCTCATTGCGCCGGTACTGCACCATGTTCTCCAGGTCGGCCACGTACAGGAACCCGGCAATCAGCATCTCAGCTGTCTTCTTGCCCTTGGAGAAAGCGTCCTCCAGCTCACGGCTGGTCCTCTCGTCATACTGCCACCAGCCGTTCCTCCCCTCATAGTACCAGGCGTTGTCCCCTGTGACACCCCGCCCTCCGGCCTTCAGCTCCTCAGGGGACAGCAGAGTGGGGTGCTCCAGGAAGTCCTCGGGAACCTCCTGTCTACAGAGAGCACAGCGCTTGCTCTGCCAGGACGCCCCTTTCACACACAGGAAGCAGAAGACGTGGCGGCAGGGTAGTTGGACAGGGTGGACACAGCTCTGCAGGCAGATAGCACACTCTGGGACAGGTAGGGCAGGTGATGAGCCACTGGAACCAGAGCAGGCAGAGTCACCACTCCCCTTCTTACTGGATGGGAGCGAGCTCACAGAGTGGTCAACCTCACCGCAGCTAGCCATCCTTAGGAAGTACTTTGGGTGGGGGGCAAAGAAGAGAGACCATTATGGACACAGAAAAGGATGTCAATGTGAACTACTAGCATCATAGTTGTCAAAAATGAAATCAACCAATACACTGAACAAGTTAAAAGCAGTTTATTTAGCTACACACAGGAAAGGCAGAGATACTGTAGTAGCTACTTACTGTAATATCTGCTAATGTTGCTGCTGTAGCATTAGGCTTATTGGTGGTTGTTCAAATGTCTCACTGCCAAAAGGAAACAAAGGTTATAGCACTGACATAGATGAACTTACGATTCTTGGAAACACAGTAAACAATACAGGAATGACAATATCGATAGTAAATTGTTTTCGGATAATTGAAAAAAACAAAGTGTTTATATTTTACTATTTTCAACAACATCACGAAAATACGCCCGGACATGGTCCCGATACGCTAGCTAGTTAACAATTACATTGGGTAAGCTTAGCTAGCTAAAAATTAATATTTGAAAATAAATGTTACTAGCAAGCTCATTGACCATTAGCCCTTGATCATAGCTCTCAGTTCCATTACATTACACATAGAGTCATTAGATGAAGGCGTCTTTTGTAGGGGGAGTTCGGTTTTAGAGCCGCGATGCTCGGTCCGAACATTAACATGCACCGCTTGTGGAACGGTTTTGGAAGCATAAGGACCTTATATTTTATATCGGCAAGAAATATATATATATATTTTTTAAAGGTTAAATTGGTACACACCTTTATAGGGCTAGGGTTCCCACATGGCCATATTTCCATGTTACAGCACTTTATGGAAGACAGTGTACTACCTGTGCTAATTAGCCATCTGCTTCTCTGAACACCTGTGTGCAAACGGAAGACTGACGCCACGAACGTGTTGTTACTGAAAAATACTATTGGCTGCAACTGTGTTAAAACCAGTATTTTTATGTGATATGAAAGTTGAGGGGTTTATGTTTATAAAACCGTACCACAATTGAGAAACGATTCACGTTTAGATGGAGTATTTAGCTGTTTTGGCTTCCAGAGCCAATTCGCCCTTTAAAACAGAACATGTAAGGTCCTTAGATTAAGGAGTAACGCTAGCCTCCTTTATTCCAATATTAGCTAATTGACCATCCACGGCTCTAATGGATTTTTGTCATAGTTTGAGGCATCTGTCAAACAACTAGTTAACACTGTTCGCTAGCTCAGGGTTTCCCAAACTCGGTCCTGGGCCCCACTTGTATAATATTTTTTTTGCCCAACACTACACAGCTGATTCAAATAACCAACTCATCATCAAGCGTTGATTCTTTGAAATCAGCTGTTTAGTGTTAGGGCAAAAACCTAAATTTGCACCCAGGGGAGCCCCAGGACCAAGTTTGGGAAACCCTGAGCTAGCTAACTGACCAGGAGGATACCAGTATCGCGATACTCGTTAGTGTCGTGGCAAGGAAACAAAACATGAAGCAGATGTAACTTCTTTTGGAAAACAACCCTAATGTTGAAAACAACAAATCATTATGTTGTCATCCAGTGTCACATTTACTTATTTTCCAAGCTATAGCTAACTATTTTACATACAGCAGGTTTTTAAAGGACCAAAGAGTTGTCTGCTTCGTGTTAAATATTTTGCCATGGAAAAAATATCGCGATAAAGCCCTACCAAAAACGAAGATGGCTAACTAACAGTTACCTTGCTAACGATGGCTTACCCCCGTTTTGTTCTTCGAGGGTAAGCCATCGTTAGCAAGGTAGCTAGCTAACGTTAGCTAGTTGGCTAATCTCCGAGCTAGCAAACTCGACAGCATTCTCTTTTTACATAACGTAGTTAGCTACGGCCACAATACATTTCTGATATGTTCGGTGTTATTCGCATTGAAACGGCGACAAACTAACGTTAGCTACTCTGCTAACTACCCACCCTCAGCATGAGGAATCAAAACAATGAGACCTGTTGTATCTTGGACTGACAACGTAGTTAGCTAGCTAACGTTAGCTTAGTTGCCTTTTCAGTCGAGAAAGAAAGCCAGAGCTAGTCACTTCTCTCTTAGCCGGGACTGTCATTTCGCATGTTAGATTTATCGGTCATTGTGTGCCTCTTGTATTGTTAAATATTACATTGATTATAAATCATACACATTTATCTAAATTAGCTACATAGCGAGACATTTTATGATAAACTCACCCGTCTGTTTTCCTCCTTCACAAAAAGCAGCGTAGTAAGTCTAGCTATCTACGTATTTAGCCTGTTAAAGTATGATGACTACGTTTATTGTACGTAATCACGCACAGCACACGCGCATTCACATTTTCTCGAATCAGCGGAGAAGTGCAATATGAAGTAATTGCAGACCGCAATTCGGGGCGTTTCTTAATATGGGCGTTCCTTGATATCAGGACACGCCCATTAATGCATGCCATTGGTCAGTCCATTGATACCTCATTAAGCATACCATGGTCGTCACTTCATTGATACCCCTTTATATACCACCATCTTTCCTACACACATACATACATATATACATATATACATATATATATATATATATATATATATATATATATATATATATATATATATATATATATATATATATATATATATATATATATATATACATACATACATACATACATCTATTTATTTTTTTGCTCCTGAACTTCTTCTACTCTAAACCTCTCCGATCATTTTCATGATGTCCATCCGGTTTGCTTCTAAATGCCATATCTTTCTAACTGTGCTCTTTCCCAAAAGCTCCCAACATACAACCTATATACTTATTATGGACACAGTATGCTTACATTATTAGCTATCTTTGTTATTATTTGTTGTTATTTGTTATTAGTCCCATCCTTCAACTCTATTCAATACCTCCCATCTATCTCTTAACACCATCCATATAGGATTTCTATTTGCCATATATATTTCAACCATACTGTGATGTTTTACAAAAGTTCTGAACCTTTCTATTCTCATTGCTTCTACAGATTGTGAATTAAAAATAAACATTTTTGCTAAAAGTATTATTATATTATTGATTGATTGACTATGACTTTTCAGATCACCCAGTAATGCTATCTGCAAGGTTAGTTCCAGGTAAATATTGCAATCCTTTAGCCATTCCTGGACCTGTGTCCAAAAACAAGCTACAAATGGACAGAACCAAAACAAATGATCTAATGATTCTATCTCTTCACAGCAAAATCTGCAGAGCTGGGAAGATTGTATCCCCCATATAAATAACATTCTATTGGTAGCAAGAATTTTATATAATAATTTAAATTGAAAGATTCTAATTTTTGAATCCGGTGTCGTTTTGCGTGTCAGTTCATAAACACTATGCCATGGGATCAGTACGTCAAAGATCTCTTCCCAACTATTTTGCAATCTATATGGGATGGCTGTCAATCCTTTGGTCCTTAAGTGAAACTGATATACTTTTTTATTTATCACAGTTTTCCTTAACCAATTATGTTCTTTAATGCAAGGCCGACAGACAAGTTCCTTACTTTCTCCCCCTTCAACTTCCTCTTCCACTTTGCGGTAAGGCTGCAATTATTTGGTTGTAATTTTGGGTAGAGCAGACATTTCCATATGTTTTTGTTAGCTGCATGTGCGACATAACTCCACCAGTCCTACCGATGATATCATTTACGAAGATTATACCTTTTTAAACATTCTGTCAAAAAATAAAGGTTTTTTGTCAATTAGTATATTTGAATTTAACCACAATATTTGTTGCATTATTTGTTCTGTCGTTTCTGGAGGATTAAATTGAAATTGCAACCAACTTTCTATGGCTTGTTTTAGAAATAGTGACATTTGGGAGATTATTTCCTTTTCAAATAACTGAAAGTGAGAGGTTGTAATCTGAATAAAGGGAAAATCCATTGATACCTGCCATTGGTCTGTTCCGGTGTTATGAGACTGATCGTGTCAAGACACAGAAGATGTGATTGGCGGTGACAGTTGAGGGTACGACGACAGATTCGAAAAGATGGCGGAGGCAGACGATGAAGTGGATTGTGAATCTAAAGGCGGTAGAATCAAGGAAGATTGGAGTATTGTTCAAAGGAATGGAAAAAGTAGCAAAGTAGTGTACAGCGCGGAGAATGTCCCTTTATATCTTGTAGGAGTGAGGTTTGTTAATGAGGAGCAGCTTATCGAAATACCAATCTTGAAGAATCGATTTGAGCTATCCGAACTGGTGGAGATGGTGATGGTAAAGTGAAGGATGTGTTGATCACGAGAGGCGGGTTTGTTTAGATTTTTTGTACTTCTGCAGATCAGAAGGAACGTGTGTTGCGGCTCTCTCGATTTGAAAAGTTTGACATGTCGTTTGTGTCTCTTCGGAACATGGCACCCCTCAAGGGGGTAATATCTGGCGGGAAGTCGATGTTAAAGAGATGAAAAATATTCCTGGAGTGATTGATGAATCGAGTGGTGAATGATGAAAAGGTGAAGAGTTTATCTGTTCTTTTGTTTTTTGATATGGAGTCTCTCCCTACTCAAGTGCAGTTGGGGTATATAAACTACAAAGTCAGAACATTTATCCTAAGACCAATGCAGTGTGATCGCTGTAAAGCTTTTGGTCATGTCAAGGGTTTGCAGAAGGGAGAAACCGAGATGTCCAAGTTGTGGAAAATATCATTTAATGTGATGAAAAAGTGAAATGTTGCAATTGTGGTGGGAACCATGAAGTCACGTTTTTTGAATGCCCGACAAGGGTGAAAGAAAATGAGGTGGCCAAAGTTAGGGTTGTACAGAGCATTTTAGAAGATACATGTTTGACCGAATCGAGAACGGAGATAGTATCACTAAATTAAGGTTGGTCGAAAATTATCTGTGCTACACCAAACAGTACCTAACCTGTAACTCCCAGTAATGGATACCACAAATCTTTGGTTAAATCGCATTATCTGGTGTTATCCCCCTTGGTAGGTACAGATTGTATGTATACACTGTAAAAATAAAATAAAAACAACCACTAATCTGTTTTTTAACTAATTAT